TATCTATATTTATAGACAAGCTCGGGTCCTCTACCAGAGGTCTGGGAGCTTGTGGGTCCTGTGCATTTTCTTAGCTGTTCCTAGAACTGCGCTCTCTGTGTGTGTGTGTGTGTGTGTGTGTGTGTGTGTGTGTGTGTGTGTGTGTGTGTATAGCCAAATCTAGAACCTCCTCATTGCACCATGAAAGTATTTTGAATCCATGATGTTTGATTTTATTCTTGTGTTCTTTATGTCTAGTTTGAGTAGCTGTTTCCTCTCAGAAAAAAGCTGTGAAGCACTGTCCTCAGTCCTCACCTGCCAAACCTCGAATCTGAGGGAGCTGGACCTGAGTAACAACGACCCACAAAATTCAGGAGTGAGGCTTCTGTCTGCTGCACTGCAGAGTCCACATTGTGCACTGGAAACACTAAGGTCCCATCCAACAATGTTATATTGTTCTTTAAATGACATGATTAACCAGTCTAAAGTAGCTAATAAATTTGAACTTAACATGTTTCTTGTATCTATGTTTTTTTTAATTTCTTCTAAATCACGGGGAATTCCCACATTTCTGATGTGTTTAAAACAAGGCAAAATTTATTCCAGCCAGTCCCCAAACTGTTTTTGTGTTCTTTATTTTCCAGATTGAGTGTCTGTAACCTTTCAGAGAGAAATTGTGAAGCTTTGTCCTTAGTTCTGAGCTCTCAGTCCTCTAGTCTGAAAGAGTTGGACCTGAGTGACAACAACCTAGAAGATTCAGGAGTGAAGCTTCTGTGTGCTGGAGTTGAGAGTCCACACTGTACACTGGAAAGTCTCAGGTCAGGATTCAACTCTCCATAATGTATAATCAATCTTACAATTTCTAATAAATGTTTATAAAATTGTCAGGTACATTTTATTTGCCTTTGGTTTGATTAGTAGACCCTGAATCATTGTCTGAAATATTTCCAAAACATCAGCAGGAATTTTGGACTCTTTTCTCATCGTCTCATGTCTTTTATTGTGTATAAGGAAGATTCAATTCAATTCAATCTTATTTATATAGCACCAAATCACAAAAACAGTCCCCTCAAGGCGCTTTATATTGTACAGTACAGTAAGATAAATGTAATACTGGCATCCCCGTTGTGATCAACACCAATAAAATCTAAAACATTCTGATTCTGACTGATGCTGAAAAAACTATGTACATACTGACTAAAAAGGTTTCAGTTGATCTAAAATGCTCCAGTGAGTAGTGACTGTGAATAGAAAGTTAAAAACTGTTATTTCCAAATTGGCTTCTCTTCCTATGTCCCCCATTGAGTCTAGAATTAAAGTGTAAATTCTTGTTCTCAAATACAGTTTTACCATTTGCAATATTATATGTTTGAGACATCATAGTACCCATATCTAAACAAAGCCAATTACTCTCAGTCTGCAAAGTTGAACTTTTTAAAAATGTTACAACAAACCCTCCCCACTATAATCTATGAATCTCTGAGTTTCTGTATTGAAATATCATTAAAATCACAGTAAAAACTGTTAACCCAGCAGCAGTGCAAAATTCAAAGTTGGAAAAAATCAAGAGGTGCATGGCCAAAGCAACACCAAAGTGAACCAGGGCCCTGTTTGCACTGAGGAGACAGAGACAATCTTTGATTTTAAGATTACACCTCAAACGTTTTTGTTTTGTTTTTTAAATTGAATCATATAGTTACAGTTGAATCAACAGTCCCTGAGCCTAGTTCTGTTGGACATCTCTTCCTGTTAAAAGGCAGTTTTTTCTGCCCAATATACCCAAGTAGAACTCCAATAAAATGTCTGTTTTTTCAGGCATTCTCTGTAATGTTGTAGGGTTTACTGCTACATAAATATTTATAGATTGATTGTTTTGTATCTCTGCAGTCTGTCATGCTGTCTGATCACAGAGGAAGGCTGTGCATCTCTGGCTTCAGTTCTGAGCTCTAATCCCTCCCATTTGAGAGAGCTGGACCTGAGCTACAATCATCCAGGAGCCTCAGGAATGAAGCTGCTGTTGGCTGGACTAAAGGATCCCCGCTGGAAAGTGGACACACTAAGGTATGAAAAGAATGTCTGAAGAAGAGGAAGAGCTGGAAATATCTTCTGTGTTGTTCAATCACTTGCTATTTGATTGATGCAAATGTGACATGAACAATGACACATGCCAGAATATTTTCAGAAACACAAATATTAATCAAACGGGATTATAAAGAAATACTAATCAGTGTGGTGTACAAAAAGGACTAATCCAGGACCAATATTCATAACTGGATTTTGCTCACCATTTATTAACCTGTTTGGATAGATGTCTGTATGTTTAATGGCATAGTCTTTTTAAAGAATAATCCTCTCCCTCACTTTTGACTGGATTCAAATTAGATTAATTTCTGTTTAGGGACAGTGCAAGGACTAAGCCTAAATTGATCAAAATGTTAAAAACAAATTATTGGTAAAGTTGTATTTAAGTGGACTGTGTGACAACCTAACAACCACAGGGAAATTATGTTGTGTTGTGAATTTATTATAAAAAAAAAAAATCATGTTCCAGCTGTGGCATCCCACTAGATAATAGTGAAGACAGTGTACCCAGCCACAAGATCACTTGGGATAAATGGCCCTTATTCACCATGTAACCAAGGGTCCTTGCATCTTGGCAACTAAGTTTAATCTAGATGAAGGGTGTTTGTCTCCTAGTGAAAACTGTTTAAGCATAGCCCCTCTTTTTTTATAAGTGCTGCTGATTTTGCCCTGGAGCATATTCTCTCGTCACAACTAGCCCTATGTGTGTAGTTTTGCTCTAAGAAAATATTTCATTTTTTACTCGGTTTGGACCTTCTTCACTTTTCATTAATTAGGTCCAACACCCACAGGATTTGCTGCCAAACAGCAGGTCAAAAGGAGAAATTCCTGCAGAGGTGTGGTGCACTTCCTAAACTGCAAACAAAAAAGTCAATTGCATTTCTTGTGAATTAATTTATGAATTATGACCTTTGAAGTCTTTTTGAGATGCTCCACCAACCTTTCACTCTGAGGCTGGTAGATGCTGGTCTAAATAAATCTAATGCCAAGTAATTTGTACTGTTCTTTCAGTGTATAAGACATGAACGAGATGGCCAGTATCTCTTTAGGGATGCTAACTCGGGAGATTACCTGAAACAGTGCCAGCGTCACAGTCTTTGTAAAACTACTGTGCTGCAGCACTGACTCAAGACATCATGTTGATTAATCTTTTAGGACTAATACAAAGATAACCCTGTCTAGAGAAATGGCAGTCTGTCCTGTGCACATCTGATTCGCCTCAGTCATAAAGCAGGATGGGGCCAGACAATAAAGTCTTTAGAGAGGGTCATCTGTGCTGTGTTTCCTCCATCCGGGACCTGTAACAGTCTGGAATGAGGAAATGGGACAAACACATCTCTACAGAATTTCACTTTGATGAACACTATGAATGTTCATGTGTATGAGAGCCATGTAATGTCCATGTGTGCATGCTGAAAGAGACTGTGCTGGTCTGACCCCCCTCCTCCTTTCAGGGTGGAGCCTGCTGGAGTCCGATGGTTGAGACCAGGTCTGAGGAAGTGTAAGTGTGTTTTTAATGGGATTCATGAAAACAAAGCAGCACACATTCAACCATCTTCATCATGTCAGGAGTCATCATCAAAGTGTCAATCAATGAACAGATGATGGATCAATAACTGCAGCTGGATTGTGTTTGTTCTCTCCATCAGATTCCTGTCAACTCACAATCGACACAAACACAGTGAACACAGACCTCCAACTGTCTGACAACAACAGGAAGGTGACACGTGTGGAGGAGGTTCAGTCATATCCTGATCATCCAGACAGATTTGATTACTGGACTCAACTACTGTGTAGAAATGATGTGACTGGTCACTGTTACTGGGAGGTCGAGTGGAGCGGAGACGTTGAGATATCAGTGAGTTACAGAAGCATCAGTAGAAAAGGAGGAGGTGATGGCTGTCTGTTTGGATTTAATGATCAGTCCTGGAGTCTATATTGCACTGATGATGGTCCTCAATTTGTCAGACACAATAACACAGGAACATCCATCTCCTCCTCCTCCTCCTCCTCCTCCTCCTCCTCCTCCTCCTCCTCTGTCTCTAACAGAGCAGCAGTGTATGTGGACTGTCCTGCTGGCACTCTGTCTTTCTACAGAGTTTCCTCTGACACTCTGATCCACCTCCACACCTTCAACACCACATTCACTCAAACTCTTTATCCTGGATTTAGGTTCTTGTTTCCAGGTTCCTCAGTGTGTCTGTGCTGAGTTGAGTGTAAAGAGTGTCCTCCTGTTAGAGAAACATGTCATCACTAATGACATCATTAATGACATTAATACATTTGACATATGTTTCACGTATTATAGACCAACAAGGTATTTTTAGCAATTTAAATACAAGTAATCAGTTTTGGGCAAAAACCAGAAATCGTTTTTTGGCAGACGATCATTTTTTGACACAACACCGGTCATTATTACACATGTAATTTATTATATAAAATATATAAACTAAATGCCATTGAAACTTATAGAATCTAATCTTTTGTTTTCTTTTTGTACATAGCACTTTATCAAACTGTTGTCTGCTACAGAGTTACAAGTATTATACTAGTAGTAATATAGCATCCACCATGTCCTGCTTGCATATTTCTGAAAACATCTTAGTGGTGTGGCAGCCATGGAGTGAGCCAGCCCTGCAAACCTTGTGGATGGACGATGCAGTGGACAGTGGGAGGAAGCATGCTAAAGTTCTTTGCAGACAACCCTGTGAGATTCTACAATCACCGACCAGAAAAGACAAACCGCAGGTCTCAGTTGCAGCACCCCATCTATTTCTGATCTTGCTCCAGCAGATTCAGCAACACTGCCAGAGACTTCCTGTAATCTATTACAGTTGTTACAGAAATGATCCAGGAACAGGTCACTCAGGTTAATCCTGTGTAAACAATGGTAAATATTGTTTTTTCATCTTTACATACTGTGTATTTGAAATATTCTGGTTTAATTGTTGTTATTTATTTTATTGCTATCAAATAAATATCCATGTAATATTGTTCATAGTTAGCGTTATGTTCATCATGTTAAAAATGCCTGTAAATCAAATTGAGTTCAGTATCAATTATTGTTTGTGTTAATCAATTTATTAATAACATAAAACCTTTAAACTAATGCAACACATATAACAATGTAACAAATATATTCAAATACAATACAATACAATACAATACAACTTTATTTGTATAGCACGTTTAAAAGACCGGCGGTACACCAAAGTGCTTTACAATAAAAACAGGAAAATTAATACATTAAATAAAAGACAATTAACAAAGTACCACATATGTCATCAGGTAAAGGACACTAATTATACGGCAATAGAAGGAAATATAAGAACAAAGTACTAAGAACAGATATAGCTGAAAGATAAAGTACATAACTAGGAAATTGAACCAAATATAAAATAGGGACACTAACTAGATGGAAAGGCTATGTTGAATAAATGCGTTTTTAAACGGGATTTAAGAGATAAAACGGAATCTGACGCGCAGGTAGTGATAGGAAGGTTGTTCCACAGATTCGGTGCAACCAGGGCAAAAGCACGGTCACCCCTAGATTTACGTCTAGATCTAGGCTGAGCCAGGAGTAATTGGGCTGAAGAACTGAGGGCTCGCCCAGGGACATATAGACTAAGAAGACTGACAAGATAACGAGGGGCTAAATTATTTATAATTTTAAAGGTGAGCAACAATATTTTAAATTCAATATGATATTTTATGGGTAACCAATACAAATCAGCAAGAACAGGGGTGACAGAGGCATGCTTTCTAGTACCAGTCAGGAGGCGAGCCGCAGCATTCTGGACAAGCTGAAGTCTGTGAAGGAGAGCAGAGTGAAGACCAAAGTAGAGAGAATTACAATAATCCAATCTAAAAGTTATAAAAGCATGAATGAGTTTACAAGATCTTTATGAGGGACATAGTGCTTAGCCTTAGCAATAAGGCGCAGTTGGTAAAAGCTAGATTTGATTACTGAGGACACTTGTTTGTTAAATTTGAAAGAGCTATCCAGCAGGACACCCAGGTCAGTAACCGAGTCAGAGAAAGAAGTGGCAAAGGAACCAAAGGTATCAGTTAATAGGCCCCTAAGGATATGGTTGCCAAACACTACAATCTCCGTTTTCTTTTCATTCAGGATAAGGGAATTGCCTGAAAGCCATTCTCTAACTTCTCTCGTGCACTCAAGGAAGCAGTGCAACGAAGGAGCAATGTCGTGATAATGATGTATATGTATGATGTAATGTATACTTTATTGAGGGGCCGATGGCACGATATGGCAGCCTCGCCTCTGTCAGTCTGCCCCAGGGCAGCTGTGGCTACAACTGTAGCTGCCTCCACCAGTGTGTGAATGTGAGAGTGAATGAATAGTGG